ACCCTATTAGTTATTCTTCACGTCTTTGACCTAGACTGACTCATACCAAGGTTAACTATCTGGAAAACGAATAGGAGCATCTATTAACAGGCAAGTTAAATAGAGACAAGCTGTTATTTGTTCTTTTGCAGTTTAATAAGCCTGAAGCAAAAGGTGGGAGGCAGCACTGCTTTTGCAACATTTTCCTGCTGGTGAAAACTAAAAATATCAAAGAATCAGACTTATCAAATCAAAGAATTAGAAAAGATATAGGAGTGGACTTTGCTAAGAGCTGAGGCAGGAAATATAGAGTCTGATCCCATAGAAAAGGAATAAATGAGACTTTTATCTTCTGAATAGAGTGGCAGTAAGTATTGTGCGTCCCAGCTAGAGTAGCAGATTTGAGTGGAGAAAGACAGCAGAGAATGCTGATGCAGAAGCAGATGGGGTTGAAAGCAAGAACACGGAATGGTGAAGTAAAATTCTATACAAAAATAGTTCTGGTTTAGATGAAGTAACTTTAAATTAAAAGAAGATCTTATAAATTCCTTCCTGATGAGATAGCATGGCCATGGTTGTGGTGTACAGATGGTGCAGTTTGTTTACTAATGGCATTTTTTACGTCAGTTGGCAGTAACATTTTAGTAGTACCTAAAAATGCATCTTAAGTGCTTCTCTATAGGCATCTGTGCTTGAAAATTCAGGCCATGGTTGGTTTGAACTGCCTAAATGACTATTTTCTTTAAAACCATGTAGTGTAGCTGTAGAAGTAAATGCCCTGTAGCAAAATCAGGAGGGACTGTGTTGCTCTAATATTTGTTATGGCTTAATTGGAAGGGGCTGGATTTGAAGGATTCAATGAAATCAGATAAAAGCTTGAAATAATACCAAAATAATGGAAATCATTATTATAAAACACTTCCTCTTTCTGTAAAATGGGCTCAAACCAGAGCTGTAAACGTAAATGATTAGCTGTCACATCCAGCTTTCTTTGGTACCCTATTTGTTTTTAATTACTTTTTGCCAATTGTGAACAGTTTAAAGGGCTATCCTGTGTATTGCTGAATGCTTGTATATAACCTCATGCCAAAGTATCTCATGCCTCCTCATTTGCCACTTTACATGGCTATCCAGAATGAATTCTAGTCTTGTTAGGTAATTCGTAGTGAAATTTGGCTCAGAACACGTCTTGAAAATATTCACTTAATCATAATTTCACAAAGTGATAAATTTCAGGTTAGTTCCTCAGTAAAAGAACAGCATGCTGTTTACAAGTTTGGTGTTCACTTTTCAACACTTTGCTGAATAGGACCTTGAATCTGAAATGCAGCAAACAGACTTGGTATGACCCTTTTTTTGATGTTGTCTTCCTCAAAGGAAGTTTTGTCTTTGAAAGCACTGCAAGCAGAAATAGTACTAAGCTATGGAGATACTACAGTGGTATTGGAGTTCCTACACCATGTTGGCTTTGAGATGTATGCTTTTGTGCTTCATGAGTTCACGTAAGTGTTTAAGGTTTTTCCAGGTCCTTTGTGATAATCTACAAATGGCACTTGGTGGGTAGAGGACCAAGCAGTTAAACCTCAGGTTGCAGTGTGAAGTGCTGAATAAATAGACAGCCGTTATCTGTTAGGGAGGATGTGGCTGCTGGCAATTTTTTGTCACTATCTTTTTGTCACTGTCTGATGTGAGAGAATTCTTCCTTCTTTGTCAAACATCCCACATCTTTGCTCTTCTTTGTTCCTTACTTTCCTGTTTCACTGGGAAAGTTGGGCCCCTTCTATTTTCCTCTAGCAAAAAATGAAAGCGCGGTTTGTGTACTGAGTCAACTCTCCACTTATTTTAATTAGCAAGAAGAAACCGAAGTGCATCCATTAAAATATTTATCTAAATTTCTTAGCTCCAAAAATTTGAATGTGGTTATTTTTAACCTGGTTTCCTAGGGAAAGATGTTCCTGCAATCATTTTTCACTAACCACCCACTGTTAATAACTTCAAAAGCCTTAGTGATGATCACAAACACTTCAGGTGGGGTAGAGATGTCAGCTTTGAAATCCATAAGCTTCAGAAATGGGGACAGGTGGGTAGGAGAAATGCTTGTCACTGTGCCGGTCATGTTGCCACACAAGGTCTGGCCTGGTTACTGGGTGTAGGAGGATCTGTGTGGAAGAGACTTCATGAAGATGCCATCTGATGGGAAGGCAGTGTCATCGTGGGGGCACTGACAAGAAGCAGGAGTCTGAGGTGAAGCCACAGGTTGAGGAAATACTTTCACCTTCCTTCCATGCTGCTGCTCCTGATTGTGTCTTCACTCTTCTTGACATCCTTCTCAAAATTGCACCTCTGAATTACAAGCGTAACCCAGGGTAATAATGATCTGGCCTTCTGTGGTACCCTCAGACACTACTTCTGCACCACTTTGGTCTGTTGCTGCGGGATGCTGTGGCTGGCCTCGGCCTTTGTCTTCAACCACAGTCCTTGTCTTTGGCCTCAGCCTTGTCTTCAGCTGGTGCCACACAGGTACCGCGCAGGTTTCTTCCTTGAGCAAACGTTACATGTTAGTTCTGTGATTGAGGCCTCCTGTGCAACCAGTCTCTTGTTTCTCTTTGTCTGAAGAAAGATGCCCCAAACCATGTTGTCTTTCATCCTGCTAGTGCCTCCATAGTACTTTTCTCCAAGCCATCTTACCTAAAGCCTCCAAGTGGCTTTATGAAATAGCTGTCTGCTTTCCTCAAGAGCGTACCCATATAAACAGAGCAAGGCACCATGGCAGGTGTGGGTGTACTTGAATCATGGTTGTGCTTCGGAAAACAGCTGCTCTGGATGCAATGGAGTGTTGTAAACAGCTTATATTAGTCATGAAGTCATTACAAAACCATGGTTGTGCCATCAGTGGTCTGAATGCTAAGAATACACCTGTCGAGATAAACTAGTTGCATCTTTCTATGATTCTTTTATATCAGAACTCCGAGTTTGTTACCCAAACAAAAGCCAAATACAGTAGGAATTATTTTTTTTTTCTGGTTGTGTCCTTTAATTCTTTCAACAGCAAAAATAATACTATGTTACAGTGGTACACAGTAGTGGGACTTCATTTAAAGTAAAGCAAGAAAATGTAATTTAGGAACAGCCTGTAAGCAGATGTTGAAGTGAGCTATGCAAATTATGATACAGTAGATACAACTTCTAACAATCTTCTGATTTTATGGTGTGTAAGAGGTGGAAGAATTCTGGTTTAGTTTCTTTAGTTGACTTTACTTTCTTGGGCTTCTTTGTTTTCCTTTTTCTTTCCCCCTTTTCTTTTTTATTTAGGCAGATTATCCTTCTTTAGTTCGACTAAAGGGAAACTCTTGCTGCATGGTCTGTGTGGTGTCTGGACCTGGTGCTGCAACATGGCACACTCAGGAAGTTATACTGTTTGGGAGTGGCATTTTCAGCATAGATGCTTGCAGCAGGAGTACTGCTTTTGATGTATCTTCAGAGTTGAAAATGGACATAAGTTGGTAAAGCTGCTTTTCTGAGAAGTCTGCTGGTGGCTTTTGGAAAAGAATGTGCTCATCTGCCCAGGACACGGACAGGCATCTGCTTTTCAGTACGTGGGCCTTTTATACTGATTTGTTCTTCTGCTACTCTGACTTCAGTTCTCTGCTCACTACATTGTTGATGTTTACTGCTTTAGCAATTAAATAATAAAGTATTCATATTACAATTGTATTTCCATCTGCATTTTCATGGAAAAATAGTACATACTTAACCTAATAAAAAATGCCCTCATATTCTTAATGGTTAAAATCTTCCCTGTGGTGTTTGTATTGTTAATAACTCTCAGGGCTTTACTCCTCATCACGCTGCTCTGCTAGAAATAGCTTTGAAATATATAGACATACAAAGTATATATTTTTCTAACAGTGAAAACTAATGTTCTGACATAATAGCCAAAACAAAGTGCCATGAAGCTATTAGCAGTAAATTGAATTTTTTTGTATGTAATTTAGTATAAACGCTGACAAGCTGAAAAAAAATAAAAACAACAAACCCGTACTCATTATTAATTCTGTTTAGCAGCACAGAGGCAGCAGTCGGCAAGGGTGTGCGTTTTTATGTCTGCTTCAATTGCACACTTCATTTATTCGGACGTGGCACAGGCGGCTTTCTCTGTCACACGGCATCACGGGGCGATTAGCGAGTTGCGCCCCGGGGCAGCTGGGACGCTTTGCTGGGGCAGATGTTCTTTTCAGCTTATTCAGTGGCCGTTCTTGGGTTGTTTACTGTTGTCATAGCTACCCGCATTTCCATAGCAGCCGCGCTGCTGTGTGCGGAGCAAGTGAATATAGTTATAAAAGGATCATATTTTGTTCTATCTCTATAACTCACCATCTGTCAACTGATTGTTGGTGATGGATTCAGAAACCAATTTAACAATAACAGTAGCCGGCTGATGATTTTTGCTTATATTAAAGTGACAATGGGTGAGGATGCAAGTAAGTTGATGCTTCGATGAAGACCTGCCTTCGCTTTTCCTTAAAACGTAGTTTTGTTCCCAGTCTTTTCTCAAACATGGCTGAAATCCTTTCTGGCAAATCAAAAAGACCAAGCATCATCTTCTCTACATGCTCAGGTGTAGGTGTTTCCATATGCTTTCCCACTGTCCTGCTTGCTCATCTCAGTGTGTTGATTCTAAGTTGTGATGTTGCACCTGCTTTCACAGATCCTTTGTAATGAAATCTAAATGATCATCACAAAATTAAATAGCAAATCTGTGAGGCTAACAAAGGCTAACCTGTGCTGTCGTGCACACATGCGGATGGTTTGGTGACTTTCCTCGCTGTGCTCTGCTTAGTGGCAGTATGGAGATTACATGCAAGTTTGGGGGTGAATACAATGTAAGATCAAAGAAGCATCTGAATAATGAGCTCTTACACCATCTCACTGAAGAAATTCAATTGAACCTACAGTTTAGCAACGGGGGCAAAAAGATTAGCCCAGTTGTAAATAATGTATTTATTGATTGATTTTTCCAGATCCTGACATTGATGCTGCCACTGCCATGATGCTTTTGAATACTCCCCCTGAGATACAAGCAGGTTGTGAGTAGATATTTCTATAGCATATAGAAACATAGACATGTAAAGTTAATACTCTCTTTTATAAGTATACAGCGTACCAGGTAAAAAGAAGGATTTCATGAAGAAGTACTACTTCTTTTACAGACCCTTATACTTCCTTGACCCTTACATGAGTATAATTTTGTGCTTCGTATTACATTCACTGTTACATGAATAACAGTAATCCATAATCTCTTAATGTAAAGGAGGGGTTATTGTTATTCATGACATACACATAATTTAGTAACATACTATTATCCATACTGATGGAAAGACCTGGGGCAACAGCCAGGAAAGCAGAGAGAGAAAAAGAGCAAGGGAGTGAAGGGTGCATGGCATATGGTTTTGTTTTCATTTTGTTTTGATTTGACTCCCATCGTGTGAGTTACCACAGCCATCTGGATACTTTCCATTCACTTGGGCACCGTTTCAGCTCCTTCCTTGCACACTTCCTGCCTATTTTGCTATTTGCACTACCTGATTCAAGGCAGTAGGCAGGCTCCAGGGAGGGAGGAAAGGTCTGATTTCCTGCCAGTAGAACTGTTCTTGTTCTGGGACCAGACCTGATGGTTTGATGCTGTATACTAACAGAGCCTTGAAGATGCTCTGGCTCCTGCTGTCCTGGGCTGTGCTCATGGTGGGAGAATCATCCTGTCCCAGAGAGCTTGAGGTAGAGGTATTAGAGGAATCCATGGAGAATATTGCTTCAGAAAAGCAGGGAGTACAAGAAAACAAACATATCTCTGGTCAGCAAGCACGGTAGTAATGCCAAGTGACAGCCAGCTCTAAAGAATCAAGGCAGAAGTTAAAATAGAAGCCATTATAAAGCCTGTCTAGCCTCACTATTGTTCTAGCTCATGCAACCAAATCCACATTCCGGGGGAAGCCTTGGTTCTCACTTTGATATTCTGCCTGGGGAAGAGTCAATTACCATCAAAGAATCTCCTGCACAACCGAGGAAAGCTATTGTCAGCCTGCTTTGTGACTGTGCCAGAGAAATATCTGTTGAGAAGCTCCTGTGGAGAGACAGTGTGATGTACCAAGAGCCTGTCTGTGCCAGAGTGGTCCTTGCCCTTCTCTCCCTCAAAGCTTTCAGGAGCTGTGAGACATAAAAGGACAATCAATTCCAGCCCTATGTGCAAGTAGAAAAAAGGAAAGATTTTACCAAGAAGCGGAGGGTACTGATGAGGCTAACAGAGAATGAAATGAGCGATCTTTCGAGGATCAGAAATTTAAGTAAGTCAGAGTTGTGGGCAAAAAATGGGTAACAGAGTTTGGCATATAAAACAGGATAAAAAGGAGTAAAAAAATCTAAGTGTGTGAGAGATGAAAGAAGAAAGACAACATTGTGTGCCCAGAAAAGGGCGGAGAAAACACGCAATAATCCAGACTTGTGTAGGAGCTGGAGAACTGTTCAGTGCAGCCATAGAACAGAGTTGATGCACAGTAACCTGCATAAGCTAAGCACACACTGCAGATGTTTATGTCATGTGCACGTTTCCCAGTATCACAGGTGTTTGTGTGGAACTGATCCAGAGACCTGGCTGCTTTCATACCATAGAGATGACATGTGGACTCGCAAGTGATTTGTTGCTGTTTTAGTTTGTAGAGGTAATTCTGAGGAAGAAAAGTGTGACTTTTGTAATTTGATGCATCTCTCCTCCCTGTCCCCTCCCCAGTGGGCTGTTGTGTCACAGTGTCAAAAGTGAGACAGAGACGAAAGCAGGAAAGTGGCTCCTTCACTCATGTTGCTACCTTCTTGATGTCACAAAATATCCAGGTTTTCTTCTGTGGCTTTATACCAGGTGTAAAGACATGGGGGTCTACCCAGAAGTTCAGGAATCCTTTCGAATGTTGGGTGGGATTGGCTGAAGTTAGAAGAAAAGGTTAGGAGAGTTGATCATAACTTCAGAGGTCTTTCAAATTGCAGCAAAATACTTGTGTATGTGAACACATCCTTGAGAAGGTAAATAAGCCCACCTATGAAATGCAGTGAGGTCTACCTTTACCACTTTACCATGTTAGGAACATCTTAGGCAACTTAAATTAATTACTAGCATGCATGAAGGAACAATTACATGAAAATATCACATTTAAAAATAATTTTCAAATAAAAGGCAAGTGGGCTATAAAAATTTCATAGTGATCCTGAGCATTGTATGGAAGATCACAATTCATTCTCTGCTCTGCTGGTCAGTAGTTTGTAAATGAGCTGAATCATCAGTGTAGTAAGCATGTTGACACTGTTTGGTGTCTCGAAGATTTGGGTTTCTGTTTGTTCTATCAGAGTGCACTATCAGGCATGTGCTCATGTCATCAGGGCTGCAGAATGCCCTCTGCTTTGAAGACAAGCTTACCTGTAAGGGATTTAAAGTGGGAGGGACACTGCTTGCAGTTTGGCCACGAGTATTAAAAACTGACTGAAAATACCCTTTGGGTATGAGAGTCTGACTACCAGTGTGCCACTTACTTCAGCAGCAAAGATGGTCGGATGGAGGCAGAACCTGCCTGTAATTTCATAGCGTAACAGCTTGGCAAGTCCAGAAGTTTAAAAGTCCAGTGCATTAAGGTGTTCATCTGTCCTGAAAACATGTAGAACATCTTTGTGAACCACGGATGTCTTCATGGCACAGTCTGAACTTGTGGGTGATTGCACACGTTGGCTTTTTACTTTGAAGGCATCTCCTTGAATTAAAAGCTGCCTTCCCAACAGGATAAAAACTTGTGCTTCTCTGGATGGCGTGGATGCTAAAAGTGTTTTGTGGATAAAGTTAGGTACAGCCATCACTCAAAGTCATATTAAAATTTATTCTTTTAATGTGATCTGTCAGAAAGAAATCCCATCTTGGTGGCATTAGAAAACCCAGCGTATACTAGTCCTTCCCTGTAACAGACTGATTAATTAGCTTTAGGTTTTAAGTGGCCATTTGAAATTATTTATGAACATCTCAAAGACTGCTGACAGCCACACAGGAATTTTAAAATTCGCTTTAGTTTTTATATGAATCCATGAAACTGTGTCTGAGCTGGCACAAGCATTGCTCAGCATTTGCTTCAATCACACTGTGCTTTCATTTTCATGCAAAAAAAGATTGCAAAATAAAAGAGTAAAATGCTGCTATTTGGATTTTTTTATTGTTTGTGGGAGTTTTGCTTTATAGACTTATGAAAATGATTGTGTTGCAGTCATACTGGGTTGTTGACGAAGTAAAGTTGGCTTCCTAACCTGTCCAGGTTGGCAAGTTTCATTCCTGGATTGTGGTAGCACTGGCATCAGAAATTTCTAAACAGTTTCTAAAATATTTACACCTTACCATATTTTTACAAACTAAATAACTGGAGATTGCAAATAAAGACAGAAGTTACAAGCAGCCAGCAGGGCTCCACTGAAAAACACAATCCAGCTGGCAGAAGGTACAGGTAGAAACATAATTTGAATGTTTATTTTTTATTTCAGTTTATGGAAGTCCTTGCATTTCATCAAGTTTTGTATTATTTGATTATGTTAAAAAAAAAAAAAAAGGAACACCTGGCTCCTTTAGTAGCAGCTATCACGTGTTATGAATACTTTGTATTTCATTAGTAGTGGAACATGAATATTTATACCATGATACATGACTTGCATTGAGAGCTGAATTTTTACCTGGAGGGGACTCAGTTTTGATTGGGTTGCTGAGGGCAGGTTGTGTCCAGTGGCTGAACCTTTGTTCTCTGACGGGTATCTGGCTCACAGAAGGGCCAAGGGAGAAGATAGCAAACAAAAGTGATGAAGCTGCATCTAGACGCTGTGGCGACTCGATTAGTGAGTACCTACATGTTATTTTGTATGACTGTTGAAATGCTCAGTACTTCACATCTTTGCAGCGTCTTGCATGTGAGTGCTACCAGCTGGCACTTCCAGTGACATATTGTCTTCAGCTCCAAGGTTGTATCATCCTGGCATGCTGCTTAGTCCTGCCAAACCGTGTTTTGCCATGAAGAAACTGGGCATAGCGTTCGGTAGTTCTGCAGTGTGTTTGGACTTCCTGAGGTTCAAGTCACTGTTAGCATTTTAAGTAGCAATACTTTTTTCATCAGTGGGATTGTTGTGAACTTGCTCCATTTGCAAGAACCAATGAAAGGTAGTTGTGCAAAACCTATTGATAGTAATGCTGGTGAAACGCACCAAGGTCAAAGCATTACACTGAAGATATTAATGTGAGTCACTCCTGACGCAGCCATCATAGACATAGCTTTGAATTCAGGAGTAGGCTTTTGCATGTTGCTATATGATTTGGGAATTGCACACCAATGCAAGCATGTTGCCCAAGCTGCAACTTAATACTGCACACAGCTGTAAACTGCTTGCAGGTAGGGCTTGGGAGGAAACCAGGAAACTCCAGGAGAGCGCCTTCAGCTCCCAACATTTATCTTCCAGTTTGTTTCTAGTCATCCATATTAGCTAGAAAGTGACAGCCTTCAGGATATTTCATGGCACTGTTTTTAGAGTTGGTTCTTTATTAGAGACTGAACTGCTCTACTAAGCATTTTTGGGAAAATAGGAGAATGGAGTTTAGCTGGGCACTTTTTAAAAGGCAGGTTTTTCAAGGGTAAGATCTCTGTTTTGGAAACCTTTCTTCCCTCAAAGCATCTGTAACGCAGCATAAATACATTCAGCACATCTTAAATTCAGTGGGATGAGAAGAAATTCTTAAAAAAGGTCTACTTCTATACTAACAAAAATGTATCTGAATGAAATTCAGTTTTTAAGCGAATGCAAGTGGATTGGATACGTGGGATATATATTTACAGAAATGAAGGAAAAAATGATATAAAATTGTCTTAAGAGCAAACAGAAATGCTGTGAATAGGATCAAATAGAACATGCTGTCTTCTCAGTGCATTTTTATTGTATGTGAAATGTGTAACTGCTATGTTCTGTTTGAAAGCTTGTGGACAAATTACTTGTTACAGCCGATGAAGCAGCTTCCAGCCTTACTTTT